GGTAGTGGTACTATCATAGAGAAATGAATAGAAAAGCGTATAAATAAAAGCTTTTTATTAAACAGTTTTTTTACTTTCAATTTATTTTTCAATTTTTTGTTATCGCTAGCTGGATTTTTCGATTTACTCTCAACGAGCCTTTTCATTTGATACCCATATTGTAGAAGTATATTGAAAATGACCATTTCGCCATCTTGGATGGTCCGCCATAATGGATTTAGAATGACGTCACATCATTTTTCGAGTTACTCTCAAGTATATCCGCCATCTCGGATAGTCCGCCATATTGGATTTAGAATAACGTGACACACCTTATCCTGCATTGTCATCCAAACTGAACGTGTATACAAATCAGCTCAATCGGTTGACGATTTCTACTTCAAAATTGAGTTCAAAGATTCCACCCGAACATACATACATACATACAAACATACAACAATGCAAGTTAAATAAAAGCTTTCTACAAAATATTGTGGAAGTTGGATTCGGATCAATATAAACCAGCACAACTTTATTCAAAATTGAAAGTTGACAGCTCGATTATATCATATTTTTTTGCTACATATTTTTTTAAAGAAACCTGTGGCTTTGCTGGCTCCGGGCGAACTCAGCAGAGCCATTTTTTTAAATAATATATTTTTAACTGATTTGATATATCCATATTGAAGAGATAATTTTAGGCTAATTAATTACCCAATTTTTCGCTCGATGTTTCAAACTAAAAAAAAAACGAAACGATTTGTCGAAATACGCGTTTATTCACTATACATTATGCATATTTTATGACGATTTTTCAAACCAAATTGTTAGTATTGATTATGAGCTCAATATCTATTGCATTTTGGAATTGTTTGCTACATATTTTTTAAAAGAAATCTGTCGCTTTGCTGACTTCTCTAGTATGCTGAGTTCGCTTGAAGCATAGCAGCGCCACAGGTTTCTTTTGAAAAATATGCAGAAAAAAAAATCAAAATGCGATAGTTATTGAGCTTATAATCAATACCAACACTTTGTCTTGAAAAATCGTCATAAAATATGCTTTTGATAAATATGCATGATGTGTGTGTGTGTGTGTGTGTGTGAAAGTGTTTTTAACCGCCAGCTTAGTTGCAAAGCAACCCTCGAAAGTCAGAGACTTGTGTGAGTTAAGAAGACGTATAGTGAATAAACGTGTATTTCGACGAATCGTTTTGGTATTTTTTAGTTTGAAACATCGAGCGAATAATTCGAAAATAGGGTAATTAATTAGCCTAAAATTAGCTCTTCAATATGGATATATCGAATCAGTGAAAAATATATCATTTTAAAAAATGGCTCTGCTGAGTTTGCCCGAAGCCAGCAAAGCCACAGGTTTCTTTTAAAAAATATGTAGCAAACAATTCCAAAATGTGATAGTTATCAAGCTTACAATCAATACGAACACGTTGCCTCATGAAATCGTCATAAAATATGCTTTTGATAGAAAAACATAATGTAAAGTGAATAACGCATATTTCGACAAATTGTCCTGTAATTTTTCCTGTTTGAAACGTTGAGCAAAAAATACGAAAATAAGGTAATTAGTTAGCCTTAAATTAGCCCTTTAATCTCAATATATCAAATCGGTGAAAAATCTATGTTTTCAAAAATGGCTCAGCTGAATTCGGCCGAAGCTAGCAAAGCCACAGATTTTTCTATGATAGAAAGGAGCAAAAATTCGGGAATGGGGTAATAAATTAGCCTATAATGAGCCTAAAATTATGAGATGTGTCTCATGGTGAAATTCGAAAGTGGCTTTGCTAGCTTCATTGGTATGGATCTTTTGATATAGGTGAATAGAGTTGAGGTCACACATACTGAACTACCCTCAAAAAATGGTAACTCTATGACCTATGTATGGTTGAAAACCCTTCAAACTAGCAATACATAGTAAAACAACATCACAAAATAGAGTCCAGTACATTTACATATTAAAATCACTTTCTAGATATTCCTCTGGAATAGAAGGCATTTTTCAAAAGATACGTTTTGACTTTGGATTTGAAATAGTTGAAATCTCTAACCTGTGGACTAAATTATCTCTATTCCTAGTTGAATATGAGTGGATATCCCTATGTGATCTGAAGTCTACTAGGTTCAGTTTTATGTGGATTAGACAGGGAAATATAAAAGTACAAGGAAGTGTAAGGAGTCTCAGTTCTGTGAAACTATTTCTACAACAAGCTATACAAGATATTTTAGACCTGTGATAATTCTAACACAGCGTCTCTGTAACCTAAAGATTTGAACAGTATTGGAGGAATGACCCCAGTTCAGAATTGAATAGGATAAATTGGAATTAAAGTATCCATGGTAAGGCTGACAGTAGGGTGTCCCTGGATACATTTTTTGAGAGGCTTCTAATTAGGAAAGTTATTCTAAACAGCTTGGAGCTTAGATTATTGATATGAACGTTCCAAGTCAGTCCTGGAACCAAGTAAACCCCCAAAAATGTAACCGCTGCCTGACTTTCTAGGTTTGTATGGGGCAAATAGCAATCCAAATGCCATACAAGTGAATTCATATAAGGTATCATTTACTTTGAAACATAAATATTTCCTGAACTTTTCATGGACTGGGATCTGTAGATAAGCATCCTTGAGATCAAAGGTTGCCATATAGTTGTTTCTTTCAATCAGCTTCATGACTGTTCTACTGTCCTCCATTTTAAAATGGGGTGGATTTAGTTCTTTTAGATTAAGGATGAACCTTGCCTTAACATTGGATTTTTTTATCAAAAAACATGGTGAGACAAACTGGGATACTACTTCCTTGCATTCAACAGCTGCTCCCAAATCAAGAAGGTGATTTACTTCTAACATCAATTCCCTGCATTCATTTTCAGAATGATTCCCACTGTGTAACAAAGCCTTTGGCTTTTTAACAAAAGGAATCTTGTTACCAGATATCCATTTCAGGATTTCTGGATGTGGTGATAGGATGGACTTCCATTGATTTTTGGGAAACCTCAAACTACCTGCAAAGAGAAAAAAACTTACCTTTCTATCTACTTCTGAGTAGGAGGCTGATAATGTTTTTTGGTTTGTTATCTGTTATTGTCTGTTATCTCTCCTGTATCCAGACAGGCCCCTCCAGTTTAAAGAATCACCTCTTTTATATGTTCCACTACCTGATGAGCTTGTACTTGGTAGTTGATTACTAGGTTTCTTGAATACATATCTGTTTTTGGTTTGAGATCTAGAACTGATCTCTCAACAGCATTTGCTGTTTTTATACACTCACCCAGGTTTGATCCAAATAACAGCTCCTCAATAGGTGCTGCACTAGTCAGCTCTTTGACAGTTTTACTCAATATAGGTGTAATGAGGGCTCTCCTAGTCAGTGACATATTGTAGTGAACATCAGTCTACAATTATCCTGACTCACTAAGAAGGCCAAGAACTGTGTTCTTGTTTTCTTTATTATCCTCTTCCTTCAAGAGGATGTTGATACCAGCCCCTAGGGCAGCAAGGCCCTTTCCTAACTGGCTCTGGTTCAGCTGTTGTAACTTGTCTTTCTTATGTGTATTCAGGTGTATTTGAAGGTATAGCCTTCAGAATTTCAGGGTTTATATCTGGGGCCTTCAACAATGTTAAATTTGTTGGAGGCAAATGTAGCTCCATTAGCATTTCTTTTTCTCCTTTATCAAGCCCTTCTGTGATGTGAGTATAGTATTCCATCTCTTTTGGAGGAGGGGATCGCGATCACGAATGCTTTCGATCCCTCGGATCAGTTCGATCGCTTTTGCTATGCTTCCCATTTATCTAAAAGAGGAAAATATCAATATTAAATTAAAAAGATCAAATATTTCAAAAAAATCAAACAAGGAAAAAAAAATGCACCAACGCGTACACAAAAAAGCGTAATGACGTATGACGTACACGGTCCAGTCGGTAAGGAAGAGTGCTGTATGATAAAAACTCTTCTTCTTACTTAATACATTATGGCATCAACCGTACCTAAGAGTGGTACTACCTAGCTAAAACAAGTGATCTCGAGGACGAGGTGCCGAAATATAATAAATAATTTGCGTTTTATAGTTCTCATGTTTTATGAAATATAATCTGTTTTTCCTCGAGAGTTCTATAAGTTCATTGAGCATCACAAAACATGACCATTCCAGAATTACGTCATTTGACAAGTTGCTGAGGGGCAAACATTGAATTTTGTCAAGATTTGTCATATGAAACTAGAATTAGTGGGATCGTATTCTTTGGAATCCGAGTTGGAACCAGAAAGAATTTCATAATTTTGTTTGGTGAAACATGGTGAAACTATGGCTAGGGCTATGCACATCAAAGGTAACCTAACAGATAGTTTGTGTGCCCCTCAAGGAACCATGTCAAAATCACGTGTTCTGGAATGGTCAATTGCCTTGAACAGTAGAACGGAGACGAAAACAGTAGATCTACTATCTCAATCTACTGTTAAAATAGTAGGTCTGGTAACGGTGACTACGAATCGAGTTCATTGAGCGATGGTAACGGCCAGAGATTAGCCACCCACGAGATTTATTAGCCACCCACAGAACAAGATGCGCACTGCGCACTTCCCTGTTAAAAATTTGAAAGATTCTTCAAGAAGGTTTTTGAAACGAAATGTAGATGGCGCGTCCACCTACGTTTCCCAAGGTTGGTAGAACTGATTATAATCTGTATACAAAATAATCATCAGTTCTACCAACCTTGACGTTTCCTGACGTTTCCACCTGAACTAGTTTTCAAAAATTCAAAATAACCTGAAATCTCTAAATAATGACAAAAGAAAATTTCTCTCAATTCTATTCATTACGGTCGTGCAGATCGATAAAATAAACTCCACCTACACGCTGCCTACTTCAAATAAAACAAATATATTTCCCAAGGTTGGTAGAAATGATGATTATTTCTACCAACCTTGTATACTTCCGGATGTTGTTGCCATCTATTAGATTCAGTTGGAACTATAATTCGTCACTGGACATCTTTCCAAAGTGGCAAAAGTCAATCAACGTCTCTGGTAACTTCCATGAAACGGGAAGTGTTATCTAAGGTTGTACCTAGCTCGGTACCGTGGGGCCCTTCGATGTAACTAGCTATGTACTCAAACGGACATTAGCACAAAGCAAGGAACGCTACGAAGGCACGGAAAGAAAAAGAGCAATTTAACATCTAACCAACCCTAACCTCAATACCCTCATCACCAAACAAAAAAGAATGTAAGTAAAAAGTACAAATAGAGAGTACCTTATTATACAATACTCATAACATAGCTCATAATATGCTCATAGTGTACACTTCTTTTCATCATGATATGACTTCCACCCCAGATGGGGCTGAAGGGTCCAATATTATTTTTTGATGAATAATTCTCTGAAAGGTTTTCAGTTACTCTCATACTCAATCCTTTGTTTGTCTCATATGTTTATTGTGCTTTTATTACATTTCAGTGAAAAAAGGCCTACTACAGGTTGTCACTGCTGTTTCAGTGGATGATGACCACAAAGAGATTGCTACAGAGAAATTCAAGGCCCTAGGAAAGATCCACTCTATCCTGCAGAATCCAGACAAGTGCAATCTGTATAATGAAATATGAAAGTGGACAATTTGATGATGAAATGTACACTTCCTTCCATTGTATGGACTATTGGAGAAACATGTTCAAGAAGATTGAGATAAAGGACATACAAAAGTATGAACAAGAGTATACATTGGCTCAGACACTGAACTCAGAGACATAAGAGCATATGTTGGTGGAAAAGGTATATTGCATTTTATACTTGAGGTTGTTATTAATATTAATACAATATATTGATGTCCATTTATGTATTAACAACATTTGAGAGCTAGGAGGATGGTTGAACTTATGTGAAGTGTGAAGTTATGCTTATGCTTGCTTTTTTGAAAGATACCTATAGCTGGGAAGTGATGTATAAATATGCAAAAGTATTTTATTATTCTTTCAGGTAATATGGATGTCATCTTGGAGATGGTACCTGGTACCATTCTCTAATTGTGATAGTAAGCCTAGAATAATAGATATAGTGCAAAAAATGGTTGACAATGAGGAAGTGGAATATTACAAAGCATTCTTTAATGAGAGTAAGGCACAGAAAATGAGACACAGAAATGAAAAAAATACTTGCAGGCACAGTAGAGAGCTCACAGAGTGTTGCAGGAATGTGACATAACCTAACCTATAACTTCAACTGTTATAAAAATGTCCAAGGCCCAGCCAAAAAATAATATGCACATGCTTGATACTGCTGTAGTTGAAAGAAGACTTGGACCTATATTTATTGTTATATGTATAATTGAATACTATGAATAACTTCCTATAATAGAATGTATTGCTATGATACAATTTTCTCAGGGGTTTTTTATGGGGGTTCTGGCCGTGTTGGTAACCATAGGCCGTAGAAATAACACAGGGTTACGCAAGCCACTCAGAATTTTTATTGCATATTATTAAATAGCCATCTATACAGGGCGATCCTCTGTCTCACTAAAACTGTAAAGTTGACCATGATATATATATAGTTTATACAAATATTGTTGAAACAAGAATACACTATATTAATTTGAATTACTAGTGAAAATAAATGCTTTTAAGGACATATTTGATGCTTTCATTTGCAACTACTTGAGAAATAACTGATTCTGAGTACGTCGATGATTGTTAATAGCTAGTCTGAGAAAATCATTATAATTCTTAACCAAAAATCAAAGCTCATGACCACGTGGAGAAAAGTTTCAAATTGAGGAAAAATTTATAGAAATACATAATTTCGCCTACCTGTAAAGTTGACCAGGTCACAAAAACGAAGTGTTTTCGCAATTGTTATAGACCCTTAGGTTCTACCATAAAGTTTTATTAGAGAGTCAGTTTGAAGAGAGGTGTGACTGCCTTCAGGTTTTGCTATCAAAAAGGCCTCGTTCAAGAACTTTATCTCCCACACTAGTTTTTATCACAATCAAATGTGTGGTGGAATGGCGCAAAAAACAATTCATCGAAAAATCATACCTGTAGAGCCCCCTGTCCGTAGGGTATATCACCAACAAAAACGACTGATAGATTTCTACCATCTCCCCAACATGGATGAACTTGCAGTTTATTGGCTCGTTGGTAGAGGGCGCAATGATGCTCAAATAAATTAGGATTATAGCTGAAATGCTTATAACTAATAGCAAAACAATTTTGAACAATTATTTAGTAGACAGAGTACCTACCCAACAACAAAATGTACACGGCTAAAGGAATTTATATTTATTATCTATCAAAAATAGCGAATATAATGGCTGCGATACGAAACGGAAGGACGTGGAACCTGATTGTCCCGTTACAGTATATTGAAGGTTGTGGTATCGATGGGGATCCTTGTTGATTTAGGAATCTTTTGTTATTGAGAATTATATCTTATATTAAATATTGATACTCAGTTATATTTAGTATTAATTATAACATGGCGCAGTCGAATTAACGAACCAAGTCTGGAAATTGAATACCTTAGAAAGGAAAATGGAATTTTTGAAGCAACCCAAACCAATGAGTCTGGTGGGAGACCTGGGAAATAACTGGAAGAAATTCAAGAGTAGCTTTGAGTTATACTCATCAGCTACTGGCTGCAAGGAGAAAACGCAAGATATTCATAGTATTCAATTATACATATAACATAGATTTGCAGAAAGAAGACAAGCAGATCAACGAGCAGAACAGAATGGAGCACAACATGAATTTGAGAAACCGAGAAATCGATGCGGTCGATGCGGATTTAATCATAGCTTTAACAGGTGTCCTGCTATGGGTAAAAAATGTAAGATTTGTCTAAAATATAATCATTTCTCGAATTTTTGCAGAACAAATAAGTGGGAAAATGTACATGCTATGACTAGTACTCTTGATGATTCAAAAATTATGAATGATATTGAAACTGATGATTTTGTACTGGGTGTTATTCAGATTAATTCGTTTCAGAATGCAGAGTGTGATTGGTTTGAAATGCTTTATTTGAATGAGTGTAAGAAACATATAAAATTCAAACTAGACACTGGTGCACATATTAATGTGATACCTAGATATATTTTTAATAAACTTGGGATAGATGCATTGTTACAAAACATTGATTTGAATGTTACTAATTACGGGGGTCAAAAATTGGATGTAGTAGGATCATGCAAGTTGAAGGTTTCTCACAACAACAAAAATTATAATCTAGATTTTATCATAATCAACACAAATAATACAGCCTCTCCAATTTTAGGATTATTGGGTATTCAACAACTAGAGTTATTATTGAGAAATAAAGTACTGAATGTTGATAAAATTGGCAATAATTTTGAAGTATATGATAAGTTTTCTGATTTATTCAGAGGTATTGGAAAAATTAAAAATAAACCTGTAAATTTCAAATTGAAACAAAACTTTGAGCCAAAAATTGTTCCATGTCGGCGAGTGCCATTTCAACTGATGGATCCGTTAAAAAATGAATTGGATAAAATGTGTAGAGATGAAATAATTGCAAAGGTTAGTGAGCCCACAGAATTTGTCAATCCCATTGTTATTGTTAAAAAACCTGATAATTCTATACGAATTTGTTTAGATCCACAGAATTTGAATAGATCACTAGTGAGAGAATATTTTGTTTTACCAACTTTTGAGGAGTTAACACATGATATCTGTGGTGCTGAATGGTTTTCAACTCTTGATGCCAGTAAAGGTTTCTGGCAAATAGAATTATCTGATTTTTCTTCGAAATTAACCACTTTCACAACTCCCTTTGGAAGATTTCGTTTCCTCAGATTGCCTTTCGGTGTTTCTAATGCACCAGAAATTTTCCATAGGATATTTACAGAAATATTTGGAGATATACGAGGCGTAAAGATTTACATAGATGACATTATTATTTTTGCTAAAACAATCGAAGAACATGATGATATTCTTGAAAAAGTTCTTTCAAAGGCCAGAGAAAAAGGGGTGAAATTCAATAAAAATAAATGTAAATTTAGAATGAGGGAAGTTAAATACATTGGCCACATTTTTACAAATAATGGAATTAAAATTGATAATGATAAGGTAGAGGCTATTAAACAAATTTCTACTCCTAAAAATAAAAAAGAATTGAGCCGGTTTTTGGGGATGGTCACTTACGTCGGCAAATTTATTCCAAACTTGTCAAAATTAACTTCAAATTTGAGGAAGTTAATGAAAAGTCATGTGTCTTGGGAATGGACTACCCAAAATGATAAAGAATTCAATGATTTAAAAATTATGTTGATGAATGAACCTGTTTTACAATATTTCAATGAAAAAATACCTATTACACTATCAGTGGATAGTTCCAAGGATGGACTCGGTGCAGTCATCTTGCAGAATGGTGCTCCAGTAGCTTATGCCTCGAAAAGTTTATCTGAATGTCAGAAAAACTATGCTCAAATTGAAAAAGAAATGTTGGGGATAGTTTTTGGCTGTCAAAGGTTTCATCAATACTTATATGGAAAAACATTTATGGTTGAAACTGACCATAAGCCCTTGGAAGCAATATTTGGAAAATCATTAGATAAATGTCCACTTCGACTCCAAAGATTGAGAGTAACATTACAGAACTATGATTTTTCTGTCAAATATAAACCAGGAACTTTATTATATTTCGCTGATACATTGTCACGAGCAAGCTATGATGATCCAAATTTTGATTTAATCGAGTCTAATGTGGAAGCTCAGGTAAATTTAATTGACAATAATGATAGTATTAGTCCTCAGAAGTTTCGTATGCTCCAACAGGAAACGAAAAATGATATTGAAATAATAACTTTGCTAAATTATATTAAAAATGGTTGGCCCATAGAAAGAAATAACGTCCATAGTTTAGTTTCACCATATTGGAATGTGAAAGAGGACCTAGTTGTACAGAAAGGAGTAGTTTTCAAAGGTAATCAGATGGTTATTCCTAAAGCTATGAGAAAAGATATAATAAGTAGGTTACACTATAATCATATGGGAATTGATAAAACACTCCTGAAAGCTAAGGAACTTGTGTATTGGCCCTTCATGACAAAAGAAATTACTGATGTAGTAAAAAATTGTCCAGTTTGTCTGAAATTTCAAAACAGTAATATAAAAGAAACTTTGCTGAATAGGGAAATTCCTGAAAATCCATGGCATACTGTAGCTGCGGATTTTTTTCATCTTGATGGTAAAGAATATTTACTCGTAGTTGATTGTTATTCGAAATTTCCAGAAGTTCATTGTTTAAATAATGATATCACTAGTGATAAGGTTATTCAAGTGATGAAAAATATTTTTTCAATCCATGGCAAGCCATTAGTTTTATATACTGATAATGGACCATCATTTGTTAGTTTCAAATTTGAAAAATTTCTCACGGAATGGGATATTATTCATAGAACTAGTTCACCAAGATATGCACAGTCTAACGGGTTCATAGAAAGATATGTTCAAACAATAAAGAAAATATTAAGAAAAGCTATTTATGATAATAAAGACATTCATTTGGCACTGTTAGAGTATAGGAATACTCCAATCAGTAATGATATACCTTCTCCAGCACAACTTTTGTTCAGTAGGAGACTGAGGGGTCAAATACCAACAAACGAATCTTTACTCAATCCAAGAAATGTTCACAAGGAATTCAGAAAAACTTACATCAATTCACAGTATAAGCAGAAATTATATTATGATAGAAATGCTTCAGATTTGCCTATTTTGAAAGTGAATGATTCTGTGATGGTTCAGTTCAACAAAAATGAATGGGAACCAGCAGAAATCATTGAAATTGACCATGCAAGGCCAAGATCGTATGTTGTCAAATTGATGAAAAATAATAAAATATTCATAAGAAATCGCAGGTTTTTAAAGAAAGTTGAGAAATATAATATGAACTATAATGTTAACTACGATCCAGTTTTTGACCCTGGCTATGGATATGGTACTAGTGATTTAGTGAATGATGAGGTTATGAATGATGAGGAAGTTGTTAGTTGTGAAAATAATGAGGTGAATGAAAGGAGTGATAGAGGAGGAATGAATATAGATGAAGAGAAAAGTGATAGAACGGAGTATACAGAGAGAGAAGGAACTAGTTATCGACGAACTAATAGAGTGGTTAGGAAACCTACTCACCTCAAAGATTATGTTTAAATAACTAGTTATCGACGAACTAATAGAGTGGTTAGGAAACCTACTCACCTCAAAGATTATGTTTAAATCGATTCTATACTCAATTGTTGATTTATTTTAGACAAATCTCAAAGGAGGGAGATGTTATATGTATAATTGAATACTATGAATACACTTCGTATAATAGATAGAATGTATATTGAAGGTTGTGGTATCGATGGGGATCGTTGTTGATTTAGGAATCTTTTGTTATTGAGAATTATATCTTATATTAAATATTGATACTCAGTTATATTTAGTATTAATTATAACATTTATGGTGAGTTCTCTCTAGCATAATATCATATTGAATAATCCAAAATGTATTTTTTCATTAGTCTGGCTAGATAGTGGTAACAACAAAAAAGCTCTTCAAGAATGTGATAAGGTCCTCAAATAAGCACCAAATCTGCATTGTGCAAAGGCTTTGAAATCCTTCATCATATGGGCAAGGGATTGGAAAGTAGGGTTATCTTGGAAGCTTTGACAAATGAGAAACCAACTGATGATATGCAACATTGTCCTCCCGAGAAATGCAAGAGTGTAAGCAATAATTTTACATCATCTAGTTACCTGTAGTCAATCATATTGATATGAATATTTGTTTTAGTAAAAAAGATTTGCAGACATTATGAGACAGCTGTAAGAATAGACCCCACCAATGAAGAACTCCATACCCATTTGTTCATGTCCTATGTGAGGATATCTGATTTCAAGCTACAGCAACAGAGTGCCATGGCATTATACAAACTCAAACCTAAAAACCCTTACTATTGCTGGGCAGTGATGAGCATAATATTGCAAGCTACCAGAGGTGAGGGCTGCAGAGATCCTCTAAAACGTAAATTGCTGTTAAGTCTAGCTGAGAGGATGTTTGATAAACTGTTGACAGAAAATAAGATTGATGCTGAACAAAAGGTGCAGTTGTATGTGATGATTTTGGATTTTTTGGGGAAGCAAGAGGAAGTTGTAGCTGTGCTGGATGGTCCACTAGGTGCCAAATTACAATGCACCAACTTTGGTCTGGTCAAGATGACTTATTTGAAAAAAAATGCAGAGGTGGAAAGATGTCAATTTGATTTGCAAAAGCATTCTTGCAGAGAGGTGAAATTAATTATTTTACTATTCTTGGCTGTTGCAACTAGTTTTTTCATTTATCAGGACAATGGCTCAACATATTTTTCATTACTTATTTCAGTGCAGATAGGTGGGATATATGGAAGGAATACATACATTCTGTATTTGAGTTGATGTATCAGCAGACTCAAACACATCTGGTCAGGAGAATTATTCTGATGGTGGAGATAATATTGTGGAAACTGCAGATGATACTCCTGAGAAAGCTCATGAGTTTATTTGTAGAATGGTGGAGAGTGGAGCTGACAATGCTAGGTAGGTAGCTATGTTGGATTTCTGTTTTAATGAACTATTCAGAGAACTGCTCAATAAAATACTGAATATTATGATATTTGTAGATTATGTGCTAGAGGGGTCCTTTTCTGGCTAGATTTCAATTGTGTTCTAGAATGTCCAGTAGAGGTATGGACACAAATGATCTGTTTGGAAATGAAATTTAACTTTTCATGTTGTATTTCAGGAAATTCAGTCACAAGCCTTGTTGTGTGTCAGATTTGCATGGTATATTTCTGAATCTGTTGCTGACTCCTAGAAAGACTGAACTGTCATCTAGGCTGATAAAGGATGTGGAAATAAGTGCTACCACAGTTTACCTCAATCAGTAATCTATTAAGTTTAATATCATTGTTGACCTAACCTAACCTGACCATAACTCCTAACAATTTCCCAGATGAGATGAGCAGAACTAATATTAACATTAGTGGGTGTACTTATGATGCAGGAGGCCCAGATGCAGGCATATTTGTGCTGTTAGTCCAACTGTTGCGGCTGTGCAGCCAGAGCACCTCAAAGCCCTCATCACAGCCCTCAATCTGCACTACCAGCATGGGTATCAAACCTATGGGCGCGGCATGCTCATCTCCACCGATTTGGCCCCGTGCGACCCTTATGCCCTTTTGGCCGCTCATCTTCTCTATGATTTGGCACAAATCGAACAGAAATCGGATGCCGTCGTCGTGGTGGCCCTTGCCCTGCTGGAAAGGTTGCTCTCGAATTCGCCCAGTAACTTTCATGGCAAGCTGTTGGCTGTCAGGCTCTATCACTGTTTGGGTGAGAAATCTATTTACATTTCTTTCATCCACCCTGCTGGTTTACAATATTTGAGGGTAATATGGTATATACAGAGTGACCCATTCAAAAGCCAGTCACCCTTATGAACATTTTATTTATGAAGCGATTTTCACGAATTTTTTTTTGAAATGTAGAGGGGGGAAACGTGTAACCAAGGAATACTAGGTCACATTCAGAGGCTGAAAAATTCAGAATTCATTTAAGCGATTTTTAATTAAAAATCGGCGTCCTCTGAAATAGGTACATGAGAAAATATTCAACAATAAATCAAACAAACATTGTTATTGTGAACACAAGGTTACCCACCCAAATTCAACGAATCTACAGCATGTTTATTTCAAACAGCCCCCTTCATATCTTAGCTATGAGTCCTGTGATCTTTTCTGAACTGGGACTGGTATGTATGAATTTGCCATAGAAAATAAGCGTACGCCACCTATCGGAGTTCCTGAAAGCTGTCAAAGCGGCCTGTTTACTTTGTTCTCATTGGTTCATATTCATTTTTTGTTTGTGCGCATTGATCACATATTCAAGACAAACCAGAAGTGTTCAAGTTGTTGCCGTCAGGTAGAGCGACGTGTTATTTTCTTTTGCAAATATATGATCAGTTTTTCAGAGACATACATCATGATCCCAGCTATTAGATGTGCGTTCTTTATCAAGTTGAGATCGGTATGAGAAGCCATCAATATAATCAGTTTTTCAGAGACAAACATCCTATTGGATATGCCGTGGCTTTTTTATTGAAATAAAAAGGGATCGGTTTTTATGAAATCACTAGCTGACCCGGCAAACGTTGTTTTGCCATAAACATTATTTATTATTATATTAATGTTCATTGTAAAAGCAAGATGAATAGGCCAGTTGAATAATATGAAATGTATTTTTTTTGTGCCGGGAAAAAAAGTTTGTCATTTCATCTCTGTTGGCAGGTCATAAAATGTCACTTTTCATAAATTACTTCTATCCCGTGGGAAAAAAGTGAGAACTTTTTTCCCGGGTATATCTCACATAATATAATAATATACACTGTTGATGGCTTTTGTTGTGCTATAGTTCCGAAAAATGAGTTAATAATACCGTCCCGAGAAAGAACTGCAAGTCCTTTTATCTTCCATTCGACTTCGCGGTTACGTATATTACTAAATAACCACTAAATTCGCAATTTTTTGAAATCAAATCACAGAATTAGATGACAGAAGTGACATCAGATATTTGATTACTTCAAAAGAATGATAAAGATGCCTATTTGGGAGCGTTAGATGAGATGATAATGATTTAGTGTGGACAATTCGGATGAAACTTTTTATATTGACATACAAAACAATATCAATCTTGTTATTAACATTTTTATAAAACAATAACGCATCAGTTATATACTGTTAAAAACTTGAAATTTCACGTCGATAATTTTCAGATTACAAAATGCTGTAATATCTAAACAACCACTAAATTCGCAATTTTTTGTAATCAAATCACAAAACTAGACTGACAGAAGTGACATCAGATATTTGATTAATTCAAAAGAATGATAAAGATGCCTACAACACAGGTGTCCCTACTGTTGAAAACTTAAAATTTCACGTCGATAATTTTCATATTTCAAAATGATGTAATATCTTCTCAATATTGATTCGTCCTTTCTTCTGTCACAGAAAAAATAGTGTATTATACACGGGAAAAATATTAGATTTTAGCTCCAGGTTGTGTTGTCTCCCGACGCGTAGCGGAGGGAGACAAAAACAACTTTTATCCCATGTATAATAAATAACTATTTTCACCAGGGACAATCACGAACTCGTCGTGTTCTTGTCTTGGGACCCGGAAAGCATAGAAAACGCTCCGGAGAATTGGCAAGAGAGCAAAGCATTGTTCGAGCAAGACGTGCGCTTCCTCAGACTGCGAACGTCCATTTTGCGGACGATGGCCGCAGCAGTGGACATTGTCAAATCCTTGGACGGCAACAGGCAGCGACACGTAGAAGCCGTTGCATCAAAAAACACTATACAAGCTTTTATGATCATATACATTGTGTTTGATGAGGTTATAAGTTGATAGTTAAAATTATTAAGAAAAATTTTATTTTCGTCTTTTTAGAGCGTTTAAATAAAAGCTTTTTATTTAAAAGTTTTTTTTTACTTTTAATTTTTATTTATCACTAGCTGGATTTTTCGATTTAGTCTCAACGAGCCTTTTCATTTGATACCCATATTGTAGACGTATATATTGAAAATGACCATTCCGCCATCTTGGATGGTCCGCCATATTCGATTTAGAATGACGTCACATCATTTTTCGAGTAACTCTCAATGAGCCTTTCCATTTGATACCCATATTGTAGAAGTATATCAAAAATATAGCTATTCCGCCATCTTGGATAGTCCGCCATATTGGATTTAAAATAACGTGACACACCTTATCGTGCATTGTCATCCAAACTGAACGTGTATACAAAATTTCAGCTCAATCGGTTGAAGATTTCTACTTCAAAATTGAGTTCAAAGATTCCACCCGAACATACAAAAAAGTGTCACTTTGTCATTTGTCAACCTTGTAATTTCTCATAAGCTGGAAAAGCGATAATTCACGTGAATTTTCGCCGTTTTCTGGCACCTTCGGCCGTCCGAAGATAGCTCGGTGACTATATCGTGCTGAAGTCTCAGGTGGGGAAATGAAAATTTTCATTTGGCCTATTAAAAATCTGAAAAAACTCACATAGACTGATTCGATGTCGAAATGAACGAATTCGTGAATTTTGGAAAATTGAGACGTAGTAGCCTACCGGAGTGCACCTATTGGCAATGGAATCAGAAGGCTGCCTTTGAGCGCCGATATCTCGAAAACTATCTGTCCTATCGGGCTGATCATGGTCTCATTCGATTCAGCGTGTCATTTTCTAGTGGAAAAGCAATGCTTCGCGTGAATTTCCGCCGTTTTCTGGCACTCTCGGCCGTCCGAAGATAGCTCGGTGACTATATCGTACTGAAGTCTCAGGTGGGAAAAAGAAAATTTTTATTTGGCCTATTAGAAATCTGAAAAAACTCACATAGACTGATTCGATGTCGAAATGAACGATTCTGTGGTGAAAATTAGTGAATTTTGGATAATTGAGACGTACTATAGCCTACCGGAGTGCACCCTATAGGCAATGGAAGCGGAAAGCTGACTTTGGCTGTCCGAAGATAGCTCGGTGACTATATCGTACTGAAGTCTGAGGTGAGGAAATGCAAATTTTTATTTGGCCTATTAAAAATTAGAAAAAATTCACATAGATTAATCCGATGTCGAAATGAACGAATCTGTGGTGAAAATTCGTGAATTCCAGGAAAACGAGACGTAGTAGCCTACCGGGGTGCACCTATTGGCAAAGGAATCGGAAGGCTGCCTTTGAGCGCCGATATCTCGAAAACTATCTGTCCTATCGGGCTGATCATGGTCTCATTCGATGCATCGTGTCATTTTCTACTGGAGAAACGAAAATTCGCGTGAATTTCTGACGTGTTCTGGCACTTTCGGCCGTCCGAAGATAGCTCGTTGACTATATCGTACTGAAGTCTCAGGTGGGGAAAAGAAAATTTTTATTTGGCCTATTAGAAATCTGAAAAAACTCACATAGACTGATTCGATGTCGAAATGAACGATTCTGTGGTGAAAATTAGTGAATTTTGGATAATTGAGACGTACTATAGCCTACCGGAGTGCACCTATAGGCAATGGAAGCGGAAAGCTGCCTTTGAGCGCCGATATCTCGAAAACTATCTGTCCTATCGGGCTGATCATGGTCTCAGTAGATTCAGCGTGTCATTTTCTACTGGGGAAGCAATAATTCGCGTGAATTTCCGCCGTTTTCTGGCACTTTGGGCCGTCCGAAGATAGCTCGGTGACTATATCGTACTGAAGTCTCAGGTGGGGGAATGAAAATTTTCATTTGGCCTATGAAAAATCTGAAAAAATTCACATAGACTAATTCGATGTCGAAATAAACGAATCTGTGGTGGAAATTAGGTAATTTTGGGAAATGGAGACGTAGTAGCTTACCGGAATGCACCTATTGGCAATTTGAATCGAAGGCTGCCTTTGAGCGCTGATATCTCGAAAACTATCTGTCCTATCGGGCTGATCATGGTCTCATTCGATTCAAAGTGTCATTTTCTACTGGGAAAGCAATGAGTTTCGTGAATTTTTGCTGTTTTCTGTCACTTTCGGCCGTCCGAAGATAGCTCGGTGACTATATCGTACTGAAGTCTCATCCAATATTGGAGCAGGTTCAGTTTCGTACAGCTCTTGCTTCAAATAGCACCATAAAAAATTCTGAAATGGATCCAATCCTGCCTGCTTGCTATAGCCGTTTCGTGGGACCTCAATAACGGTTGAAATAAAATATTTTTATTAATGTGTTTGTATATTAGCAACTATTAAATGTTCAGGTGGAGATATTGACTTCATATTCTGTAAAGTATTCATCAGGAGCATCAAAAAAATGTGTCACGCGACTATATACCCTCCTTTCCATTTGATTTTTTCTCAGATGGCAGCCACATAAAGAAATATTCGGTAATAAATACCAATAACTTTTAGTAAAATAGGCGGCAGTCACTACCCATACAGCACATGACATCCATTGGACGTCCATTTTAGGTTCATTTCAATTCCAAACGTCCATGGACATTGAATGGACATCCAATGTACGTACAAACATGTATTATCATTGGATGCTTCATATTGTATGTACAGTGGGCGTCCACTCAATGTCCCACCACGCATGTACGTAGAATGTACATTCATTGTACTTATAAAGATGGATGTACAATATATGTTTCAAAATTACCGTCCGTTGGACATCCATTTTATGTCAACTCAAGGACTAAAACTCTCGTGGACGTTTGATCAACATCCATTGTATGTAAAAAGACGGACGTTCATTGGATGATTCAAATTAAACTCACATTGGATGTCCATTCAACGGCCATTCTGAGTTCAAGCGTTAATGGATGAAGAATGAACATTATATTTATATGTATATAAATAATTGTTCAAAGTGAATGTCTGTATGCAATCATTTTGAATTTGAAGGTTTATGGACGTTGAATGAACGTACATTGTACGTTCAGAGATGGACGTAAGACTATTGATTTTTCAGCCACGTGGAGGGGAGGCAGAAGGTCAGATCGGTCGGTAGAGTAGCGGTAGCGTCTGGCGTGATTCTGATGCCATTTTCAGTTGGTAAATGACCGTAAACATGATGTGTGTTGTTTGTGATGAATTGTGGAATGCTGAATATTCAGGACCAGATCATTTAAAGTAGGTATGAAAGCATGCATGTTCGAATGTGACTTGATATATTATCTAATATAGTTATAATCTTATGCTTTATCATCCTACAGGTTGTTATTGATTTCTAATGGGCGGCTTGATAGAAGAAGTACCTAAGTATATAGCAATGTAAATAAGGCTTCATTCACCAGTCAGAGTAAAGCTGAACAGGATTTGGGGTATAGACAATCGATTTCTACCTATATAGCAATTTATAATATTTCTCTTTTTCTTACAGAAACAAGAATTTGAAGTGGACTGAAGAAGACATGAATCAATAATATATTTATATATATGCAATCGACACCAAATATATATCTCAATAGAAGAATTTATATTTGCTACCTAATGATTTTTCATCATTCGATTCCCAAAGATGAGCATTCATTATTCACCCACATGTAAACATCCAATGTACGTCCAAAGTGGTGTCCTCAAGACATTCAATGGACTTTCATTGGACGTTTAACGTCCAATTTGTTACCTACAATGGATGCTCAGACATGTACAGTGATGCCCAATAAATTGGTAACGACTCTTGGGCGAATTGAAATATTTTTGTCTAAGCACATGTACTATTCACTGTCTAGAAACGAGCTGCCTCCCTCATTAGCATTTTATGACCTGCTTCGCGCTGTAAAGGTATTATATAGGGTATACCCAGCAGTATACCCAGAGGTGTTATAATTATTATTCAAACTTGAAAAATAACAATGACATAGTTATTTCTTGGCAACTACAATGAAATAAATAGGAATTGATCTGGACTGCTTCACAATCATTCAGTTTTGATGAGAACGATATAATATTATCATAACAAAAATCCAATCTTGAAATATAGGGATTTAAGAATGTGTAAATTTCAACGATCCACAATTGATTAATCAAACCTCTCAGCTCTCGAGCTATAGGGTGTTTGAATTTTCAGGCAAAAATTATTTCATTATAATAACTTCAATATACTGTCTACAACAAGTTTCAGGGCATATGTTCACATGAACTTTTTTCTCAAAATGGAGTGAGGAACCATATCCCTTATCATTAACCATCAATTAAATCACACCCTGTATAACCAGGAGAAAACGATCGATAAAATTCTTATAAAATAATAAAGATATGGTACTAAACTATATAATTTCAGGTATCTTCAGGTAAACCATACATTTTCAAAATTATGATGAGTTGAATGAATCTCTCAAAAATCTTGGGTATATCCGAGGGTAAATCTGACATAGCGCACTTCCGAATACGGGAAGTAAATTGAATTCCCTTATTTCTGATAGAACACCACATTTTACAGATATGTTTGAAGTAGTTCTCAATAATAATTTGTCATTACTCAGTAATGCCATGGTAAACTACATTTTCTGATGAAGTTTTTAAAAATAATAAATCGGTTTTTGGGGCACCTTGTGTTTTAAGATAATGAAAATAGGTACCGGTATGTTTTAAATGATCCTGCTGCAAAATCCATCGATATTTTTAGTGAAAAACTGTCTCATAGTACTTTTTGAAATTTGGGTCAATGAAATTGGTCACCGTTGGTCATGAAAACAGTTCAAGAATGAAATCATTTTCTGGTTGGATGGGCATTTCGATTACCTATCCAACAAATACATTGTTCTCAGATTCTATCATATTATTATATAGTAACAGGGGTGGTAAGCTCTTGCAGTGGACACACTGTATATAAAAATTAGAATTGAAAGAATCTCTATCTGGCAATGAAATTCCAATCAAAATGTTTAAATGTCATTGTTGAAAATAATACATTTTGAAAAAATATCAATGGTGAACACTTCAAAATATGAATTGAAAAATGTATCACGGTTTATATCATAGAATAATGAAAATGGGTCGAGACTCCGAAAACAACAAAAACTGTCGCCGGCGACTCCTGTTTTCAAAATGTTCCTAAAATGTCTCTGAAAAGTAGTAAATTTGTTGATATCGACAAGAAATTCTTTCTTGTTGCTGTTTTGTCTGTTTGGTGTAGATCCAATATTATAGACAAATAAATCTCGGAAACTACAAATTGATATCAAATAGAGATGAAGAGTTGTAGTATATAAACATGCACTGTTCATATAGAACGAATTGAATATTGTTTTATTATAATTTCAATGGTATATACATGCATACGGTATTTCATAAATATAATATAGGTTCGTACGTTCCAAGAGATGAAAAAATTACGTTTCGTTACGAATTTTGATTTTAATTCTACGACAGCATCCTACTCACGTTTGATATTTTGATTATCATTTATTGAAATGAATATAATCATAAACACATTCTCCTCGGACAACATTCCTGATGAGATTTGCTGATTTCTGCTAGAATTTACAAACCTAGTTACAGTATGTGCAGTTGGAAACCGCAAAAACATCGTATTTTTCGGAGCGATGACCGATCAGAAAATAAAATAAGTATGGTAGGTTTAAGTGACAAATGAAAATGGCTATATCTATGAGGGATAATCGACTATAGAAAAATTCTGCGTTATTCGAATTTGGTATTTTCATAATACTATATACTATTCCAAATGGTTCCTCACTTGAACTGGTATACAAAAATATTCGAAATATCAATTATTAATTATTATTTATGATCCCAAAACTATCAACTTCTGTGATATAAAAATATATATCATATTATCTCTAAAATCAACGTAAAATCCAAGAATGCAATAATATTTCAGGTGCCCCTATAGAAAAAAATTAACTCATTTGTCGCAGCGCTCTTTTGAGACACTCCATATGGATAAATCTTAAACCATCGAATAGATTGAATCAATCCCCACAGCTTATGCATTCAACAGTTTTTGTAATACGTAAAATAAAGAAGTTACAAGGAGGGCGACCCCTACTATATACATATTACTTATATGAGACATTTAATAAATTTGTGTTAGCTAGATTGAGTAAATTTGTGATATATTTCCTCGTTTTTTCCATCAAGAATAAATCTAATACGAGCAGTGAAGCTCATATAAAAAATGACATTATGAAAATTATTGCGAATGACTAAGTGACAATGACAAACTATCAATAAACGCCTTGAATGAAGGTAGCAGACGAATTGGTCATACAGATTGTCCAGAAATTACACTCAATACTATAGTGATTTCAAAAATGGAAAAAATAATCTAGTAATTGATCTAGAACTTTCACTCC